TCTGTGCCTCTTGGATTTCAATGCCTTTTTCCTTCCCCATATCAAGGAAGGAATTCTCAGCTATGATTTCTTCAAGTACACCTTCAGCACCTTCCTCTCTCTCTTCCTCCTCTGAAATCCCAATTATGCATATATTATTACATTTCATCACATCATTTACCTCTCTAATTCTCCCCTCATACTCTTGGATATTTTTTTTTATTTCTCTTTTTCTCAGCTTCCTCTTTTTCCATAATTTTCTCTTCTAATTCACCCATTCTCTCCTCTGCCTCTTCAACCCGAGCTGTTATCGCCTCCATTTTATTTTGCAGCTCATTTATAGCATTTTTAGCTCCTCCTGACTGTTTCTTAGTCCCTTGATCTCTGTAGCAATTGATTCTTTGCTGTCATGTATACTTTTTTCAAGCCCAGTGATTAATTTTATGACTAGTATTTTAAATTCATTTTCTGTTATATTGCTTATATCATTTTTTATCAGTTCATTAGCTGTCGCTACTCCTGGAGTTTCTTTTGAGGAGAATTCTTCTATTTCATCATTTTGGATAGTCACTGGAGTGGCGCAGAACTGCAGGGCTCTTCCTCTGTGCTGTCTGGAGTAATTTGCGTTGGTGGGCGGGGCCACAGTCAGACCTGATGTCTTCCCCCAGCCCACCGCTGGGGCCGCAGTCAGACTAGTGTGCACCTTATCTTCCCATCTCCCAGGGGCAGGACTCACTGTGGAGTGGTGTGGCCCCTGTATGGGCTACTTGCATACTGCCAGAGTTTTGGCGCTGCTTCGATGGGATCAGGCTTATTAGCCAGGGTGGATCTGCAAGGTGCACAGTGGCCGGAGGTGCAGACTCAGCTTGCTTTGCCTTCAATGGTCCGCTTTGGAAGGGGCCCTGGTGCACCAGGAGGGAGGCAGACCTGTCGGAGGGATGGATCCACAGAAGCACAGCATTGGGTGTTTGGGCTGTGCAAATAAGTTCGGTGATGGGAATTGGTTCCCTTTGGAATTTCAGCTGAGGGATGGGAGAGGGAGATGGCGCTTGCCAGTGCCTTTGTCCCCTCTGAGCTGAGCTCTGTCTTCCCTGGCTCAGCAAATCTCCCTCCCAGTGTCCTTTCACCCTCAGCGCTCTCAGAGTGCAGAGCTGTTGAGTTTTAACATTCCAGATGTTAAGTCCTGCTGGCTGTCAGAACTCATGCAGTCCAGCCCTTCTGGTTTTGCAAGCCAGACTTGGGGGCTCTGCCTTGCCGTCGGGCTGCCCCTCCACCACCCAGGCTCTCTCGTGCTAGTCCGTGTAGCGTGCACTGCCTCTCCACCCTTCCTATCATCTTCCGTGAGCCTCTTGTCTACACTTGGCTCCATAGAGTCTGTTCTGCTAGTCTTCTAGATGTTTTCTGGGTTATTTATGGAGATGTGTGTGGAATCTAAGTGAACAGCAGGACGAGTTGAGCCCAGCATCCTCCTATGCTGCCGTCTTCCTACCCGAGTCCCGGATCTTCTGTTTTTATCCATTCTGTTACCCCGTGGCTTTTGATTGGAGCATTTAGTCCATTGACATTTAGAGTGAGTACTGAAAGATATGAATTTATTGCCTTTGTATTTCCTGTAGAGTTGAAGTTTCTGGTGATGTTTACTGGTCCTTTCTAGTCTTTGTTGCTTTTGGTCTTTTTTGTTTGTTTTTGTCTTTTCTCCCCTCAGAGAGTTTCCCTTAAAGATTTTTGCACAGCCAGTTTAGTGGTTATGAATTCTTTATGTATTGTTTATCTGAGAAACTATTTATCTCCTCTTTTATTTTTAATGACAGCCTACTGGATAGTGGGATGGATCAGTTTTTTGCACAGGTGTGTGTATGTGCAGAAGTGGGAGAGTTGAAAATGGCATCATGCATGTTCCCAGTCTCTTGCATCAGAACTCTGTGCTCTCGTTTACTGGCCATTAGGCACCCCTCCTTTGTCTCTGGCCTTATTTCACTCCCTGCTTCTGCACTGTCCATGACCAAGGCATCAGCCTGCAAGGTGACACCTCTGTCCTGAATGTTATCTAAGATTGGGCTGTGTTTCCAAACCCTTCACTTCTGAGGGCCCTGCAGCTTGGGCCTGCTTTTACCCTCTGGGGGAGGGTCTTGCCAAGCAAGTGTTGGGTGCTGGCTTACCCAAGGGAACACTCATGCAACCATGTTGCTGGAGAGGCCCAGAGACTGTCCGGGTGCCAGCCCACCCCAGAAAAAGTTTGTGCTGTCATGTAGCAGCAGTGGTTCAGGGACTATGGCAAATCACAACACACAACTGGTGCCAGGCTTCATGGTTCCCTAGTGTCCTTGTTCCAACACTAGCATAAATGGCTGTTCTCTAGGGTCTGCTGGGACCTTTTCCCATGGGGAGGCCACATGGCCTCTACCAAATGTCCTCCCAGCAGGAGGCCTCCCCCATGTGGCCTGAGGATCCCTCGGACCTCGCTGTCTCCTCCTGGGGATTTGCCCTTCCCATGAGAGCACCACCAGGTATCAAACTGCAGATTTTCTGACTCTGCACTCCTCTGTTTACAGAGTCCTAATGGTATTGAAACCCTCTCCTTTCTCCTTTTCCCCTTTGTTGTTCAGACCCTTCTGGGTGTTTCTACTCTTTCTCTTTCTCTCCAGCTGCTTTAAGGGGGAGTGCTTTTCCTGTACTCTCTCCCCTGTCTCTGTCCTCTCTCTGCAAACAAAATAGCTCCCTACCCTCCATGGTGTCTCTATCCCCAGTTCACCTCTCCGTGCCACCCCCCAGTTCACCTCTCTGTGCCACATACCTGCTGCGTTCTGTGGCTCAGGTTACGTAGATTGTTGCATTAATCCTTAGATCAATTTTCTATGTGTGCAAAATGGTTTCTTGCTAATCCAGTTGTATTCAGGGATGAGAGAGGCTGAGAACTTCCATGCTACTCTGCCATCTTGGCCCCTCCCTGTGACATTTTTTAAATTGATTCTTGGAATAACATTGCACACACACATACACACACACACACACACACACATATATATATATATTCACACAAAACAGGAAGATATAGTGGAGTGAGGATCCAGAATCTATTGTCAGTGGAATAGTTGAAATATAAGAGTGGCTGAAGGCTGGAACTGACCTGAGGACCTCAGAAGCAGGAGCAGTAAAAAATGGGTGGATAAGATGATGATGTGCACTTGTAATATAATAAAACTTAAGAAAAATATCTGAGTTGTTGATCTGTGCTGGCCAGACATATCCATCTGGAAAACTTAATGAGAAGCATATTATTTGTGTTTTCTTGTTCTTGTTACATTATCTTCTATACATCAGACATAGCACAGTGCAGAAGATAGCAATGATAATAAGGACTGTACCAAACTAAGCATAAAAAAAATAAATTTAGAGTTTTGCTTCTACCAATGACAGATAAGCTAAATTGGACCAAACTTCCGACTAAGAACACCTAGATAATTGTAAAAAATTATTTAAAATAAAGTATTATTTGAAAGCATCAAAGAGCTAACGGTGCTGTAAGATGTTATGGATCAAAGATAAGAGGAAAAAAGAAAATCCTAATGTTTGGCTCCTTTTCCTTTAGCAGCAATTGATGACTCCTAAGGAGACAGGACAGCTTAAATGCTGAAAATTCATGCCAGATTTTCTACAGTCATAGGGGTAAGTACATAAATGTTGAAGGTGGGACTTCCGAAGGGAAGGGACCCTGGAAAACCACTCATGCTTAGGGATCTCTGAAAGCTATGCCAGGCAAGTAAGGGTAAATTGGAAATAGACCAGCCCCCCCCCCCCCACCAAGTGTCTGAAGTCCAGATTAATAATCTCAACCACTAATGGGATTAAAGGGATTTGGGGTTGTTTGTTGCTGTCTGGCAGTTTATCAGGAAAAACAAACAAACAAACAAAAACCTTTTTCCTGAAGAAAGATAACTTCATTCTATGACTGAAGGAAATAAATCTACAATTTATTACATACAGTTCTCTGAAAATTTTAAATAACTAGGTTAAAAAGAGATAATAAAAAATGATTGAAAATCAAGGAGTGAAAAAAAAGAAATTAAAAATAATCCACATGAAATCCAGATAATGGCATTATTAGATATAAACTTTAAAAAAATCATGCTTATAATTGTCAAGAAACCCTAAAACATTGAAAATTTTAGCTAACAATTTGATAATATAAAATATGAATGAAATTTCTAGAACTCAAAAGAGCAATACCTGGAATTAAGAATAATCATGGTATTAGCAGCATATGAGACACACTGAAGGAAGAGTTAGAGAAATAAATGAAGAGTGTGAAGAAACTATCCAGAATGAAGTATGGAGAAACAACACTATGAATGATATAGTAAGAGATGGAACAAAGTTAAGGGGGATACAGTAAATAAATCAAACATATGTTTAGGGGCACTTGGGTGGCTTAGTCCATTGAGCGTCCAACTTCGGCTCAGGTCTTGAACTTGAGGATCATGAGTTTGAGTCCTGCATCAGGCTCTGTGCTAACAGCTCGGAGCCTGGAGCCTGATTCAGATCCTGTGCCTCCTTCTCTCTCTGTTGCTCCCCCATTTGTTCTCTCTCTCTCTCTCTTTCAAAAATACTTAAAGATTACAAAATGAAAAAAAAAATAAATCAAACATGTTTAATTAGAGTCCTATAAAGGAGAGAGAACAGTACAGAATAGTATTGCAAGATAGAATGCTTCAGAAATTTTGAAAAGTAACAAAAGACATCAAGTCACAGATGTAAGAAGCAGTATATATGCCAAGCATACTGGGGTATGAGGGAATCCATGACCATCATAATAAAGCTGTTGAAACGCAAATAAAGAGAGAAAATATTTTTTTATGTTTATTTATTTTTGAGAGTGAGAGAGAGTGTGAGCAGAGGAGGGGCAGAGAGAGACACATACATAGAATCCGAAGCAGGGTCCAGGCTCTGAGCTGTCAGTACAGAGCCCAACATGAGGCTCAAACCCATGAACCACTAGATCATGACCTGAGCCAAAGTCAGATGCTTAACTGACTGAGCCACCCAGGTGCCCCAAAGAGAGAAAATATTCAAAGAGGAAAGAAAAACAACAAATTATCTTAAAAAGAGTGAAAATAAGATTGACATAATTTTTGAAAATAAATGATAGTTTAAAGAAAGTTAAATTCTAACTTCATACTGCTGAAATAAAATAACCGCATACTTAGAATTTTGTGTCTATAAAAAACTTACCTTTCGAAAATGGAAGTTAAAGAAATAAATACCTTAATGCAAACAAAAGCTAGGCAAATTTGTCACAAGCCAACTCAAACTAAAGGTTTATGCTCAGGATAAAAAATATGATCTGAGATGAAGGCATATAAATGCAAGAAGAATGAAGAATAATGACAGTTGAAAATATGGAGGAAAATCTAAAAGAGTATTGACTCATTTGATGATTTCTTTGAATAATTTATATATATTATATAATAATTATATTATACATATATTATATATAATTAAAATACATATCAATAAATCAGGAGGTGCATTGACAGAGTTTAATACTGAAAGGTGCTAGTGTTATCTAATGAAATGCAAAAGAACTAATTTATATTAAACTGTGATAAAGCAAAAATATATGTTGTAATCTGAAAGGTAAACACAACAAAAATGATAAAAGGATATTTAACTATCAAGCTAAATGGGTAAAAATTAAATAATTAAAATAATAATAATAATATTAAACATAACAAAATAGAGGAAAAGGAAACTAGAACAGGAAAATACATGCAAGGGAAACAGTAAGATAATTTAAACCAAATTATATCTTAAATTAAATTACATGTAAATGGCCTGAAGCTTTCAAATTAAAAAGCAGAGATCATAAATCTAGATTAAAAAAATTCATCCAATCAAACGATCCTTAAAAGGGCCATATATAAAATGTAAGGATATAGAAAATTTGGAAAAAAAAAAAAGATGGCTAAAATATACCACTTAAGCAATGACTGACTGAAAGCTAGTATAACAATTCATAAGAGATAAAATACACCTCAAGTAAAAGTTTTACTAGAGAAAAAGGGAGACTGCAAATGATGGAATGTTTAATTGAAAATAAAAATATTAATAAAACAATTTTAAATTTGCATGCACCTTTTAATATAGAGCCCAAATATATATAGCAAAAAGTGATAGAAGCAAATGGAGAAAATATAAACAGTAAAAAAATGACAGGAGTAAAAGGAGAAATGGAAAAATCCAGTCCCAGTAGGAAATTTTAATACACTTCCTTGAGTTACAGAATAAACAGACAAAAAATCAGATAAAGAAGATTTAAATGCGTAGCAAAAGTTACTTAACTGACATAGAACACTGCACATGACAACCCATGTAACATTCCAGAATATATCATATATGAGCCATAAACCAAGCCTGTAGAAACCTCTATGGGGAGGGAAGATAAAAGATGGCGGCATAGGAGGATGCTGGGATCACTTCCTTCTGCTGATCACTTATATTCCACCCACATAAGTGTAAATAACCCAGAAAACCACCAGGCGTTTAGCAGAATGAACTCTCCAGAGCCAAGCATAGACAAGAGGCCCACAGAGAAGGGTAGGAAGGGTGGAGACGTGGTGCGCACTACATGGACTGGTGGGAGGGAGCCGGGGCAGTGGAGGGGCAGCCTGCCAGGCAAGGCAGAGCCTCCAAAGTCTGGCTTGCAAAAGTGGAGGGGCCGGACTCCATGAGTTCTGACAGCCAGCAGGACTTAACATCTGGAATGTTAAAAGTCAGCAGCTCTGCACTTGGAGACAGGAGGGTGAGAGGATGCCAGGAGGGAGAGTTGTTGAGTCCCAGAAGGGCAGAGCTTGGCAGGGGAACAAAGGCACTGGCAAGCGCCATCTCCTTTTCCCATCCCCCAGCAGAAATTCCAAAGAGAACCAGTTCCAGTCACTGAACTTGCTTGCACCACGCAAACGCCCAATGCTGTGCTTCTGTGGATCCATCCCTCCTATGGGCCTGCCTCCCAACCTGTGTTGCAGGGCCCTTCCCACAGGGGACCACCTATGGCAAAGCTAGCTAAGCCTGCCCCTCCCACCCC